CAGCCTGCTCACCTCATCCTCCGTCTTCTGCTTCTTGGCTACTATTCCCGTCTTGAGGGCTAGTTTGTTCCCGCCTCTGCGCTTGCCCACCTGGGTGAAGGGACAGAAGACTGCAACGGTTACAGGAGTCGGGCCCGCCCTTGGCGGCGCTGAGGCCCACTACACCTTCCTAGCCCGGCCCGGTGGCCCGTCCCGACGCCGCGCCCAGCTCCGCCAGCCGGCCGACCTGCGCAGCAATCAGAGAGGAGCACACGCGACTCTTAGCGCCTGCCCTGGGCCCATGATGCCCTGGCAGTCCTGGGCCCCTGGGCTGCCCTCCCTGAAAGCGAGAAGAACCCCCACATCAGTGGGGACAGGCTGTCCTCACTCTCCCTCCGGAAGCTTCCCCCTCCCCTAGCAGGGACCACACAGTCAGCAACAGCTCCCTTTACTGAGCACTCACTGTATGCTAAGCTCTGTGCCAAGTACTTTGGATGTGTCATCCTTCACTTTCACAGCTGCCCTAAGGTGAAGGTTACAACCATCCCCATTTCACAGATAAGGAAACATCTTTAAGGAGAGGGCCCTACCCTAGGTCCTGCTGGCAGCAAACAACAGAACTGGATTCAGGGTTGGATGGGTCCAAGTCACAGAGCAACATCCTTAACCGCCAAGCGACAGCGTCTCCCCTGCACCTCAACTGGCCCCTTTAAGAGCGCCCCTCCATGAATAAACGAAAAAGGCAGTGACAACCACTGTTACTGTCACTTAACAAAGGGGTACTCAGCCTCCACCTCTAGTTCTGCCACCAACCCTAGGAACCTAGGTCTGAACACTTCCCCTCCAACAGAAGTCTCACTCTAGATCTCATCCTGGTCCTCCACCTGCTCCCACGGACAGCACTTTCTGTGCCCACGTGCGGCAGACAGGTTTCACACACATCATCCCCTCTCTACCCCTCAACCAGGCATCAAGTGACCTGTGCTGCTGGGACTCGTCCCATACACTTTTCACAAATGAACAAACTGAGGCTTGGAGAGGTTAGATCACCTGCCCCAAACGACACTGTTAGATCCAAAACTTGACCTCCAGTCTGTTACTCTCAAGCCAACACTTTCCTCCACACCACACAGACCTCATCTCTGAACAAATGAATACCCAGGCTGTGAGTTAGCTGCTTCTTTTTCATTCTTCTTTTTGTTGTTGTTGTTATTAAAGAAACTTGTCAGATTTTTTTTTTTTTTTTTTTTTTTAAACAGGCTCCATGCCCAAGGTCGGGCTTGAACTCTAGACCCTGAGATCAAGAGTCGCGTGGCCTACCAACTGAGCCAGAGAGGAGCCCCCAGGGACTTGATCTTAATATCAGAAACAAAGCAAGCTCAGAGATGAGCATCAATATAGTTGCCATTTATTTAGCCTAGAGTTTCTCAACCTCACACTGGTGACATTTTGAGCGGGATCATTTTTGCTTGGGGTCAGGGGGCTATCCTGTGCATTGTAGGATTTAAGCAGCAGCTCTAGCCCCTACTCACAGATGTCAACAGCACCCCTCCCCCAGTTCTGACAACCCCAAATTTCTCCAGACTGCCAAATTGTGGGGGTGGAGGGTAGGGTGGGGTGGGGTGTTCATTCCCAATTGAGAATCACTGGTGGTTTAACCCTTCCTATAAGACAAACCCGGCACTAACCTCCCGGATGACCTCACGGAACCCCCACCACGTCAGAAAATGCAATGATAGCCGTTTTTGTAAATAGGAAATTTAAGGATAGGCCAGCCCAGATACTCCAGGAAAGCAACGATCTTGTCATGTTCAACACGGCATATCCAGCACCCAGCACAATGCTCAGCATAAGGTAAGGTGCTCAATAAATGGACACTGGGCGAATGAAACTCAGGGAAATTGAGCAAATTTCCTAAGGTCACACAGTAAGCGTTCTGAGAGTCTCTAATCCACACAGCTCAGATTCCAGATTTGAATTTGCCCCCCCCTTCCCCATAGTGGAAGATGGTCCCATTATCCAAGTTCAAGTACCACTCAAATAGGAATCCCGGGATCCTGATTTCCCCCTCCACGGAGCGCTGTTTCGAATGCAATTCTCTGGTTCCCGGCCCCCGCGGGCGGGCTCCGGGGGTCCCCACCCCCGCCCCCAGACCTCTCGTCGAGAATCCAGTTTCCGGATCCTTAGTGGGCGACCCGAACAGCCCCCTCATCTGGGCTGGAGGGTGGACCCCGATCCCGATCCCCTTTCTCGGGCCCCGAATCCCTCTGCCAAGGCAGGCCCTGGCGCCCGCCCCCACCCCCGCGGCTCCTTACGAAGCTGAGCGTAGGGCCCGGGCCGCCCTTCCTCTTCAGATCCCCAGGGCCCGCGGCGGCGGCGGCGGCAGGCTGGTCGGGTCGCGGCGGGCCCGGGGGCGGCTCCTCCTGCCGCTGCCGCTGCTCCTCCTCCATCTTCCGCTTGAACAGCTCCAGGAAGCTGCCGTCGTTGGCGAACAAGTTCACACCGCCCGACACCGGGCTAGAACCCGCGCCCGACGCTTCCTCGTCCCCGCTCTCGGGCGACGTCCCGGGCCCAGACTCAGCCCATCGGCTCCCGACGCCGCCGCCGCCCGCGGGGCCCGGCGCCTCCCGGCCCGGAGGCTCCGCCCGTCTCCCTCGGGCAGCCATTTTGTCGCCAGGTGCCGCGCAAAGGACTCCGGGAAGGCGGCTCCGGCCAGGCGCTTGGCGCCCGACTTGCCCCGTCCCAGGCAATGCATGCCGGGAAGAGCGGTCTGGCCCTCAAGCGTCCGCAGTGGGGGCGGAGTGTGTGGGGCGGGGCGAATAAGGGGTAAAACCAAAAGCGACGAGCCCGCCCAGCCACGCGGGTTCTTATAATCCAGCTAGGTTTGGGCAGGCATTACGCATAGTCTCCCGGGGAATGGAGCCATTGTCTGAGACTGGGGCTGTAGCTGGCTCTCCGGAGTGAAGTTCCCGCTTGAAACTGGGGGCACATTAGCTTTCCGGGGCTAAGATCCCCTTCTGGCACCAGGGATAATCTCTCTGAGGGAAAGGACCCCATCAGAGACTGTGTACCCAATTGACACCTCGGAACCGAGGTCCCTATCTTGGTCTAGAGGACATATCTAGCCTGACCCCCGCCCCCGACTAGAAATGGGGTTTTTTTGGGTTGTGTATCTGCCTCTGAGATGGAGCTCTCCTTTGGGAATGGGAACACAGCTGGCTCCGTGGAGCTGGGGTCCCCATCTGACAACAAGGGTGTATTTGGGGGGCTGGAGTACTCAAGTGAAGCCGCGGATATTTCTAGGCTGTAGTCTATCTAAGGTTAAGAGTGTTCACCAAGGGCCTGGGACCCTGCTGTATTCCTGCCCAGGACAGAGGTTCAAACAGGGAATTCGAAGGAGTCTCCCCTCCCAACAGGAAACAGTGCAAGAAGGTTGTCGGGAATAGGGTCCTTTCTGCGACAAAGAGTGCAGTTGCAGGTGTGGTCCCTGCCCTGGACTGCCCAGCACGGCGCACTGGACAAAGATCTGCGGACCCTGCCCACAACTGGAGTTGTCCCTCTAACCTATTTGCAGTCCCGGAACCTGTCTTCGGCCAACTAATCGGTTCGTCTGTGATTGGTTTGCGTCAAGAGCCAGGTGGCTCACAGCCAATTGGATAACAGAGGAGACGAACCTGAGGAGATATCGGGAACCAATTTGGAGAATAGGGAAAATGATCGACAGGGAGTTGAACCTATGGAGTCAGGCCAGGGCGGACCTCAGCGCTAACTTCTTGGAGAGGGCCTGGACTGGGTGTTTGGCTGGTTGCTAAGGAGAGGTTGGCGGCTACCGGGACGAGAAAATGATTGGTGAAAGTGAGAAAAAAACTGCAGCCAATGAAAGGAGAGCTAGGAGACCTGAGGTCCAATCAGTGAAGGGGAGTAGTCTGAAAAATACCAATAGGTCAACTCAGCAGGGGGAGTCTTTGAAAAAACATAGACAAAAGGGCGACAAAGTGAACCCTAGAAGCGGAAGACAATAGAAATATAGCTTCTATTATCTTCTAAAAGTCAGGCCATGAGGAAATTAATCCAGGCTCCTCGACTTGATGGGTATGTGCTAGGAAATTTCCCCTGTAGGTGCTTTTCATGGTGCGCTCCGCTTGATCACGTGAGCCCGTTCCAAGATGGCGGCAGGGGTGGCCGGGTGGGGGGTTGAGGCAGAGGAGTTCGAGGATGCGCCTGATGTGGAGCCGCTGGAGCCCACGCTTAGCAACATCATCGAACAGCGCAGCCTTAAGTGGATCTTCGTCGGGGGCAAGGGTGGCGTTGGCAAGACCACCTGCAGGTAAGGAAACTCCGGCGGGGGGTAGAGAAGACGGGTGGGATGTACCACTGGGCGAAGGGGAGGCTCGGGACTGGCTCTTCCACCCCAAGCGGGCAAGGGGGCTGGGCCGTCGTGTTCCTGATTGTCAAACTCCAGAAGTTACCTGGGGCAAATTGAAGATACTGCCGAATGCAGGCCAGGAATCCCCTGAGTTGGACCCTCCCCGTTGGGGTTCAAGGGCAGAACTGCATTGAACGCAGCGCACGGGAGCCAGGAGACTACTTAGGTGTCTTAATCAGCTGGAATGTACCAGAGTGAACTCAAAGTAGGGGGAGGGGCATCGGGGCGGACTATCCTAGTAGGGTGAACCTTGCCATTCCAAGGCCACGTGGGGGTAGAGGTGGTAGGCGGGAGGGGTCACGTGATTAGACTATCCCCGTCTGCTGGGAGGAGGGGAGGGTCCCTGGGGCAAATTATCCTGAAGAAGTGGACTGAACCATCCTGAGTTTAGCCGGTAATGCAAGGGACCCCTTAGCTTAGTGTTTAGGGAGGGGGCACGGGGTCAATTTAGGCTAGCTGGACCGTGCCACTCCATACCAACAAAGAAGAAGCAGGCATCAGGCCAGACCGACTCAGACAGCTAAACCTCACTACTGTAGCCACCCAGAGGGGTCAGTGGGTGAAGTTTGAGAGGGTCCCTCAACAGGAATTAAGGCTTGATTCTGCAGCTACCCATATTCCTCTCTCAAGGTCCCTGCTGATCAGGGTCCCGTGCCCCTGGGGCCTATATAACCCTTTGCAGACCTAGGGAGCAGAGGCTGACCCCTCACTCCCTGCCTTTTGACCTTTCCCTCGGCCAGCTGCAGCTTAGCGGTCCAGCTATCCAAGGGGAGGGAGAGTGTTCTGATCATCTCCACCGACCCAGCCCACAACATCTCCGATGCATTTGACCAGAAGTTCTCCAAGGTGCCTACCAAGGTCAAAGGCTATGACAACCTCTTCGCCATGGTGAGTGAAGCTCGGCTCAGCTCCCCACTCTGGCAAAGGCCCTTCATCCCCTCTCTGTGAACACCCACCATCGGCTACCTTGTCCTGCCCATTCTGCATCATGTCTCCAATTTCACCCATTAACATACCCACAGGAGAATGAGTGAGGAATGTTTGCAGAGCAGAAAGGAGGCCGGAGTGACCAGAGTTTAGTGAACAAGGGGAGGGGAAGAAATGTCAGGTCAATCACAGACACGTGGCATAGGATCTTACCAGCCACTGGAAGCAGTTATGTTTGATTCCAAGTTTAAATGGGAACCTGTTTGTTTTAAGCAGGGCAATGTCATGGCCAAATTCATTTTTCTTTTTCTTTTTTTTATAAGTTTTTTTTTTTTAATGTTTATTCATTTTTGAGAGAGAGAAACAGAGCACGAATGGGGGAGGGGCTGAGAGACACACACACACACACACACACACAGAATCCAAAGCAGACTCCAGGCTCTGAGCTGTAAGCACAGAGCCAGACGCCGGACCTGAACCCACCAACTGTGAGATCATGACCTGAACCAAAGTCGGTTGCTTAACTGACCGAGCCACCCAGGCGCCCCTCCAGATGCATTTTTCGAAAAGCTTCCTGTGGCGGCAGTGCCAAGAATGGATTGTAAGTTAAGGATGGAAACAAAGAAACTAACAAGGAGAGTGGGCCAGTGATCAGGCTAGACATGATGGCAGCCTAGACTCAGGGGCAGAATATTGGGTGAAGTGGTCACATTTGAAATGTGTTTTGGAAGTAAAGCACTGCAAGTCCTTGGTTGTAATAGATGGGGAAAGAAGTGAATTAAGTACATCTCTTAGTGGCTGCCTGAGCAGCTGGGATGGTGGCGGCCAGGAGAGAAACAGGTTTTGAAGGGACAAGTCAGGAATTCCATTTTGGCTACAGTGAATCCAAGGCATCCAGGACATCCAAGTGGAGACGTCGGGGCAGTGGCTTTGTTATCTGTGTTTTGTGAGCTTGGAAGAGGTGGGTGTGGATTTGGGAGTCATTGTCCCAAGGATGGTATTCAAAGCGGTGTGAGTAGAGGAGAATGAGAAGACAAACTGCCCAGAAGCCCGGAAACAAACTGCGGTCATGTCAGCATTTAGGGTCCAGGGGCAGGGAGAGCGAGGGGGGAACAGTGAGGGAGGCCAGGAAGGAGCCATGGACGAAGTGGGAGGAAAGCCAGGGATTGTGAGCTCCTGAATCCAGGAGGACAAAGGGACTCGAGACAGGAAGGAGTTGTGGGCTCCAGCAGGCATATTGTTTTAGAGAGACCAGTCTGGGAGTGAGGGCAAGAGCCTGCCCAGAGTGGCTGAGCTGAGGAGGTGGGGACAACGATCAGCCATGATGGGGGCTGAGAAAGGGGGCCATTGCCGGAGGGAGACAGGTAAAGAGAATGATACGAGCTTTTTTTTTTTTGAGGGAGTGCTAGAGCAAGTTTGTTGGCTGATGCAAATGCTCTAACAGGGAGGGAGCAAGGATGCTGGCCAAGGATGGTCCTCAGGCAGGTGGGCAGCTGTGAGCCCCATTCAGCTCACAGACCCAGGACATAGGGGCAAGGCGTGGGGAGCCTGGGGAGAGAGGAGGGTGTTGGCAGCCAGTGGCTTCTTTTTCTTTTGTTTTGTTTTTGTTTTCTTTTTTCCCCATTTTTTTCATTTTTTGAGAAAGAGACAGAGTGCGAGCAGGGGAGGAGCAGAGAGAGAGGGAGGTACAGAATCCGAAGCAGGCTCCGGGCTCCGAGCTGTCAGCACAGAGCCCAATGTGGGGCTTGAACTCACAAACCACGAGATCGTGACCTGAGCCGAAGTCAGAAGCTTAACCGACTGAGCCACCCAGATGCTCCAGTGGCTTCTTTTTCTAATCAGGCACGGCACTGGTCTCGGCAGAGAGCCAGGGGTGAACGGGACGGACAAGGTTTGAGGAGAAAGAAACTCCTGAGGGTTTGTCTGGCTTGAGTGCCTTTTGGAGATCTGTGCTCAGGAATGGGGAGCAAGGTGAGAGTCATTCGTCAAGTGTATTTCCACAATGTTCACCTCCGTACAGCCATATCAGAGAGCTGGGAATGACCAGAGTGGGAATGTTGCCAGCGACAGAGGGAAAAGGGAATGTTTGCACAGACACTCTGTGGAGTCGGGCTGGATAAGAATGCTAGCCATGAGGGGCGCCTGGGTGGCTCAGTCGGTTGGGCGTTCGACTCCGGCTCAGGTCATGATCTCACAGTTCATGGGTTCGAGCCCCGCATCGGGCTCCGTACTGACAGCTCGGAGCCTGGAGCCTGCTTCGGATTCTGTGTCTCCCTCTCTCTCTGCCCCTCCCATGCTCGTGCTCTATCTCTCTCTGTCTCTCGATAATGAATAAATGTTAAAAACAAAAAGCAAAAAACTTTTTTT